CCATTAGAGGAGTGACAATTGTGACTCTAGAAGCTCCAAGACAAGAAGATCAACAAGGAACTCAAAGGTATGATTCTAGATCTGTTTTAATGTTGTTGTTTAACCTAATTAGCCATTAGAAGTCTTGGATTCAAAAGCATGTTTATTAGAAAGCCTAGATCCAAGCAATAGGGTTTTGCATGCGCACATAGGAAAGTTCTTATGGCTAAAACCCAACAGTGGTATCAGAGCCTAGATTGGTTTTCTACAAATTGTTGCTTGAATAACTGAAACAAACCTGCAAAATTCGATTTTTTGGTTTTGAGTCACTGACTCGTCGAGTTCCATGGTGGACTCGTCGAGTAGGCCTGACTCGTCGAGTCCCCTTGTGCACTCGGCGAGTCCAAGCGTCAGGAAGGCCAGATTCGGGATTTCTTTGTGTTTATCTTATCCAAACTTTCCATAAACTAATTAGATCAATATGAATCCGATTTCTTGATAAATATAAGTGTTATCTTGATCTAGTTAAAGGTAATTATCAACTAATTAAATATTTATTTCTTATATGATAATAATTAATTATTTTTGGTAATTATCTTCAAAGAAATCAAAGATAAATCAAATAAAGATAATTAAGATATTAATTGTTAATTGAAATTATTTGTTATTTGATCCTCCATGTTTTTAAATGTTTAAAACCTACCCTATAGTTTTGAAATTTAAATTTGTGATTAAAAGCTTTAATTTAGACAACTTAAATTTCAAACCCTAGATTTTGAAAAGTTTAAAATACAACCCTATACTTATATGATATTATTAGATAAATATATATGTATAACTAAATGCTAGTCTTACCGCTAGTAGGCCTCATTCACGAAGCCGATCTATAAGGTGGGTATAAGGTTGCGGCCTATAAAATGGCGCTTAATGGGTGTACACTCACACCCACCGCTTGCTTGATTGGTGGAGGGTCGTTAGCCGAACGGGTAGGATAGGGCAACCTCATCCTCTCATTAAAAGTATAATAAGAAATACGAAGTAACTAAATCTTTTAAATTTCCCAATCTTAGTTACTTTAGGAAAAGTGAATTGATGCAATTCCATGAAATTACACTTTGCACCTTGCTAAGATGTTAGTGGAGCGTGTGTGGTTTACCGGCACACTAATTGGTTCTAAGCGAAGGTGGCAAGGGTGATTCATTGTTTATCATAGTTCGATGGAGCGTGTGTTTACCGGCACATCGAATAGGTGATCGTAACAATGAAGGCACCATGTAAATTTGCATGGTAATTCACACCCGCTTTGTGATCCTCGGCATCCCAGTCACAAACAAGAGGGGCATATCGAGATTTAAACATGCCATTGAATAGTTCAATGAATCTCATCCGAACCTAGGAATTCTCAAAAACACTTAGGACCAAAAGTTTAAGTTTTGAAGAATTAGTGAATCGTCATTCACTTACCTTCAATTTATTTGCATGTTGGATTACGGCATCCCTTTTCTAGTATGTAAATGTTATTGTTGGATCCTAGCCCTAATTTTCTAATTGGGTG